TGTCTGCAGAGTCCTTAAAATAATTTTTGTCCTGCACAGTGGCTCATACCTGTAATCCCAGAGTTTTGGGAGGCTGAGGTGTGAGGATTGGTTGAGCCCAGGAGTTCAAGACCAGCCTGAGCAACATATTGAGACCCTGTCTCTACAAAAATTTTAAAAATTAGCCAGACATGGTGGCATGTGCCTGTAGTCCCAGCTATTCAAGAGGCTGAGGTTGGAGGATCACTTGAGCCCAAAAGTTTGAGGCAACAGTGAGCTATGATCACAACACTGCATTCCAGGCTGGGGCAGCAGAGGAAGAGACCCTCTCTCTAAAAAATGAATAAATAAATATAAAATAAATTAATTTTTAATTCTGGCACCCTTCTACTCATCTATTGTCACTCTAAGACATGTAGTACAAAGCCCCCAGCCCTTACCTCAGATATTTATCACTAATATTTAGGTTTATAAAAAGTTACTTTGAAAATTGCTAAGAGAGTATGTTTTCTATTCTCACCACAAATAAATATGTGAGGTTTAAAGAAAAAAGTTAGTTATTGCCTCCTAAGCCTGTTCTACACTATTTAGGCTATTGATATTTGCACATGGGTGGCATGAGAAGAATATTTGTAAAAATTCTGAATTTTAAAATTCTCAAGGTTATCATCTCTCTTCCTACATAAGAAAGAAAACAATCAGGCTGGATGGCTCTGTCTTGATTCCTTCCTTACATTATGTGTTTCATGGAGGTAATCTACGAAATATTTCAGCAGTGTCCACATCAGCCAATTCCTGTGAGCCTGCTCTTCCCAGGCCACAGCAAGCTCATCTCCTAACTGCTCTGAGCTGGACATAAGTCAGGTCTATAAGAGAAAGAATAGTCACACATGTGGAAACCAGCCATCAGGGATTAAAAACAGAGGTATTTGGCAAGATTTCTAGATATTAAAAAGAGCTTAAAAAGAATGATGACATCGAATACATTTTCCTTTTTCTCACAGCATAAAATAGAAGGATCTCTGAAAAGTTTTGAGTAGTTGCCAAGTAGTTCCACCATAAATTGCTATGTGACCAGAATAAATCCTTTAACCTCTCTACTTTAGTTCCCTCATGTGGAATGTGACAAGTATATCAATAATTTAAAAGTTGTAGAATACCTAACCAAACATATTCGTCCATGCCTGGCTTGACAACATCCAAAGTTTACTCCCGAGAGACAGCACTTTTTTTTTAGCTAAAGCTCCAAACATAAACACCTAAAACTCATTTTTGCACCCACATATAGTGTGAGACCATTCACACTAAACACTTGGATGGTTCCTCCTTCCTCAGGCTTCCAGCTAAGCCATTGTTCTCATTGAACTTCCAAGGACTCCAATTGCTGCCACGCTCTCCACAGAAGGTCACTGGAAGTGGGCTACAGGCACACAGCAGGAGAGAGGCTGCCAGCAGAGGCTGGGTCCTGAAGCTGCCTCCTTGCTCTGCCATCCTGAGGAAGCTTGGTAGCTACAGAATCCCACTGACCCTTCTATCTCGCCCCTCAGGCTCCTCAGACACCCTTTCATCTCCAAAAGCAAGACCATTCCTCGGAAAGAGTGAGATATTTGACCTTAGTTAAGTAAATAAATGTTTTAACAGAATAATTCTGTGGAGTAGGAAAGGGTAGCAAGAAGGAAGAAGAGAGATAACTAATCTGAGAAGAATAATGCCTCAGCCTTCACTAAGGAGCAGGAAAAATAGTAAAAAAAATAGTTTATCTGTAAAGTAAGAGGTAATATTATATGTATTCAATACTCTTTGAAAATTTCATGACACATAAAAACTCACTAAATATACTCATGTAGTTTCTCATGATAATCAGCTTCTGATTTAAAACACCACCTCAGTTTTCTCAAACAACTGATGATTCAATCATAAAAATTTAATTACATGATTTGTACAGAGCTAAGAAAAAAAACCTAAAACACTGTTTCTGGTTGTCATCCTCCAGTTCCCTCTGGTTGTCTGTAAAATGCTTCAAAATCTATACATAGAAGTAATTTCTAGAAATTGTCTTAGGAAAAGTCAGACAATGCCCATTGACTTCTCTCATCCTCTATTGTACACTTACAATTATATTTTTGTTTGGCATATGTAAAACTGTTTCCATTTGTTGCCCTTAAAGGTATATTTTATTTCTTTTGTATCTCTGTTTAAGGTTTATATTTCTTAAACTGTCTAATCAAACATTTTACCACTAATACTAAGAAGAAAATACTGAATAAATGTTCTCCCATTAATCTCAATATATTCCATTTTTTAGGAAATCATTAAGGAAGAAATCAGGTTATTTGGTGATAAATCCTCTATTTTCACTGATGTGGATGTGAATGATGACTTTTATTACTTACTAGATAACAATTTCCTTTCCTTCTGAGAAATCTATGCAGTAATCTCTTCTGGGAGCTTCTGGGTCCCAGGCCCCTAACTACTGTGAAATATTGAAATTACAGTGGGAATTCCATGTGGGAGTCAGATTATAGCAAGAAATTGGAATGGGATCCCTAAGACAGATCCTATTTATGAACTATAATCATTTTGCCTGCGACTCAACAAAGGGAGGGATAGAACTGTTATCTCTGGGCACGTGCCTGACAGCGTTTCTGTTCAGCTGGCCTTCAAAACTCTTTTGTACCACTCTTTGAAAACTCATGTTACAATCTATAACATGTCCTTCTGATATATAAAAAACTTACTAAATAATACTCATGTAGTTTCTCATGATAACCAGCTTCTGATTTAAAACACTGCCTTACGGCCGGGCGCTGTGGCTCACGCCTGTAATCCTAGCTCTTGGGAGGCCGAGGCAGGCGGATTGCTCGAGGTCAGGAGTTCAAAACCAGCCTGAGCAAGAGCGAGACCCCGTCTCTACTATAAACAGAAAGAAATTAATTGGCCAACTAATATATATATAAAAAATTAGCCGGGCATAGTGGCACATGCCTGTAGTCCCAGCTACTCGGGAGGCTGAGGCAGAAGGATCACTCGAGCCCAGGAGTTTGAGGTTGCTGTGAGCTAGGCTGACGCCACGGCACTCACTCTAGCCTGGACAACAAAGTGAGACTCTGTCTCAAAAAAAAAAAAAAAAAAAAACACTGCCTTAGTTTTCTTTTTTTTTTTCTCTCTCTTTTTCTTTTTTTTTTTTGAGACAGAGTCTCACTCTGTTGCCCAGGCTAGAGTGAGTGCCGTGGCGTCAGCCTAGCTCACAGCAACCTCAATCTCCTGGGGTCAGGCGATCCTCCTGCCTCAGCCTCCCGAGTAGCTGGGACTACAGGCATGTGCCACCATGCCCGGCTAATTTTTTTCTATATATATTAGTTGGCCAATTAATTTATTTCTATTGATAGTAGAGACGGGGTCTCGCTCTTGCTCAGGCTGGTTTCGAACTCCTGACCTCGAGCAATCCACCCGCCTCGGCCTCCCAGAGTGCTAGGATTACAGGCGTGAGCCACCGCGCCTGGCTGCCTTAGTTTTCTTAATCAACATGTACTAGATAATAATGTCAAGATGAACCTATTTGGAAAACCAAATTCTAGATTTAAAGAAATAATTTTAATATATTAATTCAGAATCATTCTGAGAATAGCAATAATTTTCTTTCTAAATTTACTTTTATACTGTTCTATTTCTATTGTGTCTCTAATAATGTCACCATCTTAAGAACCAAATTAAACATAACCATAGGAGAGCCTCTTCCTGTTTCTGTTTTAAAGTTTTTCTTCAATACTCTTTCAGGAAGTAATTAGTGAAGCTACATGGTATAGTAGTTAACATGGGCTTTGGAGTCAGACAGATTTAAATTCAAATTCCAGTTCCACTATTAACCTAACATCAGGTATCCTCTCTAAATTCTACTATCCTTCTCTGTTTAACAGGGAGAGTAATACCTACCTGAGGGTAGCTTCAATCAAAAGGAGATAATGTATCTGAAGCACACTGCACAGGGCCAGGCATATAGTAATTACTCCATATGCAGTAGCTGTTATTTTATACATACACACAACACTGAAAAATCTTCATCTTCACACCACTTCTCTGAAGTAACAACTATTTAGTTATCTCTTTTGCAGGTGAGGAAGTTAAGGTTCAGAAAGTTTAAAAGTCATGTCCAAGGTCACACAGCAACTGACAGTAGTGCTTAAACTCACATTCAGATCCTGTCTCATGCCACAGTGTTCTTAATCACTTGGCTGTATTGTTGCTTTACTCTTTCCTCCCCCCTCAAACAATAAGAGGTGTAAAAAGATATCTTCATTCATGTTTTAATATGTACTTCATTGATTACTAGAAATCTGATCATTTTTACATATGTTTGTTTTAAAACTGTATTTTCTTTTTATGTTATTTGTTCATAAGCAACTTCTGTAAAGTGGCAGGGCAATTCTGTTCCCTATTTTTTTCCTAATCGGGTATATCAGTGCAACCTTATCACAAGACGCCCAGGTCCCTTATTGGTGGCTTCACTGAGCTGTCAGTTTACAGAGAAGGTGCTACTTCTTCTCTTCCTCCTCTTTCCTGCCCAGTATGAGCAGAATATCAATATTTTCCAGGACGTTATGTCCATATCTTTTCAACATCACTCACTCGCAATATGATGCCTGGCTGGTTTGGAACACAGTATCATGAGTGAGAATGAAGCCCCAATGACCTCTTAAGCAGTAACAAACTAAAAGAATCTTTTTAATTGAACCAATGTACCAAGGCCTTTGGAAATCAATCCCACTCCTCCACCCTCTGCAACCCCTCTCTCCTTTTCTCTCCCTCTTCAAATTTCCCTTCTGATAACTAAGATAAAGACGGAATGTATAGGGGTTTTTTTTGTGAATATGTGATCCAAACAATTTGGCTATCATTCAAAATGTATCTCTCATAATGTACAGAAACATCATTAAAACCCCATCTATGGTTTATTAAGCAAAACGGAATTTACCTAATAAATCTAAACTTTAATAATCCTGTTTTATAATATGCTCCATTACCTGCATTATGTCTTGCAATATATCCAATTGCCCAGACTGCAGCCTCCTTGACTCCAGGGTCAAAATCTTCCAAGCATATCACCAGCGTGTCCAGTGCTCCACAATCAACTATTGCCTGAGCTAGCTGAGGAGAATGTTTACCAACTGCTCGTAACACAAAGGCAGCTGCTTTCTTGTAAAACCGCTACAAGAGTAAAGTAGAAAAAAACCCAAAATGAAGTGAGCACTTACATGACCAAAATCTAAAATACACCAAGACCAACATAAAAATTACATTAATATAAAGCTCAACAGCTTTTGAATATAAAAGATGAAAAACATCCTGCAAAATCATTTTGATTATTTGATGTTCCCTCATTGCTTTTGTTCTGTAACTAAACTGAAATCCAGGTAAGTTTTAAATTACATTGCAAATGTTTTACTCTGAAGCATGTATTTGGAAACTGTATAAAATCAAATATAAACATACTTTCCACAATTCATAAAATAATGATATTTTCTGTATCTATATTACACTGAAAGATACTGTTTGACCCATGGGAACTCATAGATTGTTAGCAGTGCAACTAAACTCTGTTAACTGACTAATTCATTTCCTGGGCTTGCCTCCATCTCTAAGCATGGTAGGCCTTTCATGCCCTCAACTAATCTTTCTGGTGTTCCAAGTTATCCTGAAATAGCAACCATGTTCCAAGATGCACTTAAACATCATCAAATAAACATGCAGATAAAACATTTGTGATACATTTTTAAACTTTTCCTGGCAAATAAATAAGACAAACAATGGGATATAAGTTAATTTTCTCCTCTAGAAATGCTTTTTTTAAAGATAAAAGCAAATTACTTATCATTTGTGAATTTTAAATACTGCTTCATGTTTATATTTCCTATATATAAACTTTATCTGATTAAGGAATGAGAAAATGAAACAAACATAAGACTCACATTTCTCTTCATATCGCTAAAAAAATTAAATGTATAGAAAATATTTGGCTATAATACTCACTGTTTCATGGTTAGCATAATGACAGTGATGAGCTATAAACTCTTCTTGTTATTAATAAAACCCATTCTCCTATTTTATATTCAGAGTTTCTATTTCTTTATAGTGACTACTAAAAAGTGTCTAGGTGTCTATAGTACCTGTTCAAAAGCATCCTATTAAGTTACAATATTGATACTATAAAAATTATAGGAGAGAAAACATATCAAGTATATTTTTACATAGTGTATCTAAAAAATTAATATATGTTGCTAACCTAAGAAATATGCTATGTTAGTACTGATGCTTTGATCTGATATATTTTCCTTAGTTTCTTAAATTATGTAAAAGTCACAAAATTTCTACTAACTTATATGAATAAAAATTAGGGTAGATTTTTAAAGTATTAATAGCTCTCCATACATTATTTTCTTATAATTGTGCAAAATAGTGATATAATTCTTTTCATTACCTTAAGATAATTTTACTTTTATCCTACAGAATTGCAAATTTATAGACAATTTACAGGTATCAAGAGTCACTACTAACTATAGTACCTATAATTCACACTTTCTGATCTCCTTCTTTCTCCTAATTTTCACTTCCCCAAATACCTAATACTCTTCTCTCCTACTTTTCACCAAAATAAATGCCTTAAAAAAAAAAAGCCAAAAGCAAAACCACAGGACTTTGTACCTCACAAAGAGGAGATTAAATCTCCTCTGAGAAATGACTTAAGGTGGGTAGGTGGAGAGGCCAGAAGCTTGAGCATAATTAATGCCTCACATTTTTCACTGCTTCCTCCCTAGTGCCACTGCCTTCTCTCCTTAAAGTTAATGGGTATTCACTCATACTTTTAAAACTTCTACTGAGAACCTTCTATGTGAGATACCAAAATAGAGAGTCAAAGAGGAAGAAAGTCTAACGGTATTTGATGATACTGTGTTTCCCCGAAAATAAGACAGGGTCTTATATTTATTTTTCCTCAAGAAGACACCGTAGGGCTTATTTTCAGGGGATGTGTTTTTTTTTTAAGTACGGTACAACAATCTACATTTATTCAAATATAGTTAAGTTGTCTTCTTCTGGAACATCATCATAACTCTCCAAACCCCGAATTCCATCCTGAATTTCTTGCAACTCTATTTCCTTTAGAACCATTGGCCTCAATCTCTCATGTCGAGCAATAGAGCTCTCATGGGGCAGATGAGAAGGGTTGCTCATCTTCTTTACCGCTCCACAATGAAATGGATGGGCTGTACAGATACACTGCATAGCCACGCCCATCACTAGGTCTTATTTTTAGGGTAGGGCTTATATTGCTCAAATGCTTAGAAATCCTGCTAGGGCTTATTTTATGGGTAGGTCTTATTTTCAGGGAAACTCGGTAGAAGGAACATCCACAAGAAAAATAAAATTTCTGTGAATCCTTGCAAGCTATACCAGGCATTAGTAAATGACACTGCAATGTATAAAGATAAGGTAAATTTCTTCACAATTAGGATTTATTTTTATTCTAGTAGATAGCATAAAAGTTACCATTTTAAAGTATATAATCCTGTAGAATTTAGTGCATTCACAATGTAGTACAACCATTACCACCGTCTAGTTCCAGAATATTTTCATCATCCCAATGAGAAACCCCTTACAAATTAAGCCGTCACTTCCCATTCCCTTCTCCTCCCAGCCCTTGACAATCACTAATCTGCCTCTGTCTCTATGGATCTGCTTATTCTGAATATTTCATATCAACGAAATCATACATGTAGCCTTTTGTGTCTGGCTTCTTTAACCTAGCATCACGTTTTTAAGGTTCATCCATGTTATAGCATTTATCAGTACTTTATTCCTTTTTAGGACTGAATAGTAGTCCATTGTACATAGACATTTCATTTACACATTCATCTGTGGACGGACTTCAGTTGCTTCTACGTTTTGGCTATTGTGAATAATGCTGCTATGAACATTTGTGTACAGGTTTTGTTTAAGCATCTGTTTTCAATTCTTCTGTATATATAACTAAGAGTAGAATTGCTGAGTCATATGGTAACACTTGTTTAACTTATTGTGGACCTGCCAAACTGTATTTCACAGCAGCTGTACTATTTTACATTTCTACCAGCAATGTATTGGGGTTTCAATTTCTCCACATCATTGCCAACATTTGTTGTTTTCCTTTTTTTATTATTATAGCTATCCTGATAGATGTGAAGTGGTACCTCATTGTGGTTTTGATTTGCATTTTCTATCGACTAACACTGTTGCACATCTTTTCACATGCTTGTTGGCTATTTATAGATATTCTTTGGAGAAATATCTATTTAAATCCTTTGCCCATTTTTCAATTGGATTGTTTGTTACCCAAATAAGAATTTAATGTTAAAGATATATCAAGAAAGATTTATCGCTAGGTTATGATAAACTAATAGGATGGAATGAATAGTTCAAGATTCTGCCTACAGCAGGTCCTTAACTATTCTGGAAACTGAATAGGCAGCCCTGTATGAAACAGAGAGTGGCACTAGATAGGAGGCGGGAAATGGGGCACTTTTAGACGATGCTTAAAAGAAGTGGCATGCCTGTATACTTGGTAAAAACGCTTTATCAAACAGCTATTACACGTGTTCTCCCCTCCATTTGATTGCTTCTCTACCATTTGCTTCAAGGCTGTCTCTTGCTGTTTCCATTAAGCAGATTTCACCTGCATATAAGGACTGTTGAAAGCAGCTATTTGCCTAGGGCCCTACACACCTCCCAAAGACAGATCCAATAGCTTTGTTTAAAACTCCCATATACAGAATACCGCTTTATGTATAATTTCCCCCCAAAAAATTAAATTTATTTTCTCCTTGTATTTATAATAATGGACAAATGTTGGATATTAGCACCAAAGCAAAATACCCAAGAGATATTATTATGTGCAGTTCAGAGAACTGAAGGTTGTATTAACATGCTAATAATTCTAATGCCCACAACTTGTAACTATGCCCAAACTATCAAATTTTTAAAAATCTAAAACAAAAACATAAAACTTATTTAATTCTTACATTCTGTTCTGCCAATGAATAAACAAGCTGTGGAAGAATGTCACCCTTCACAACTGCTTCTGCTAGGTCATCATTATAATTGGCCAGTCTCCCAAGAGCCAAAGCTGCAGTCTGTTGAATTGTTGGGACCACATCCAGAAGAAGAGGCCGCAGCAAAGACATCACACCTGAGGTAAATCATGAAAGAACAGAAATCAGCAAAATTTGAATAAAAAGAAAACATACAATTCAGCATATACACAGACAAGAAAATTAAGAGAAAAAAATCAGTAAACATGAAAAAACTGGCCATGTGCACGACAGCTCATGCTTCTAATCCTAGCACTTTGGGACGCTGAGGCAGGAAGATTGCTTGAGGTCAGGAGTTTGAGGTTGCAGTGAGCTGTGATGATGCCACTGCAATCTACCTTGGACAACAGAGCGATACCCTGCATCAAAAACCAAAAACCAAAAAACAATCCACTAAAAGCTAATGGGATATTGAGAAGCACCTAACGGGCCAAGACAGAGAATAGTACAAGCTATAATTATTTAACAAGCAGCATAGCATGGAAATAAGAAAGGCTTTGCATTTGGTTATAAGTTTAAGTCCCTGATTCAGCAAGTACTAGCTATATGACCTGATAGTGTTGTCATGAGGAATGCAGAGAAAGGATGTGGAGTAGATGGTATAATGCCTAACACATGGTAGGCAAAAGAGGAAAAAACAAAAGCTAGGTTTCCCCCCAGACTTTGCAAATTCCATCTTTCAAGGCTCATTTCAGAGCCTCCCATTCATGAAAGGCTGCATGAGTATTATCTCCAAATAAATTCCTTGAGATAAGGAAGTATACCGTATTATTAGCTCTCATAATATTCATCCTAGGGTTGAATACTTATCAATATTATGAACTGATATTATGAATTGCATTATGAATATTATCAAACTTATGAATATTTAGATATATCATCTTCATCATTATCACAACAGCAAAAATAACAAAAGTAGCTTATATTTATCAGGCACTCGCTATATGCAGGCATTGTTCTAAGGACTTTTTTCCATATTAATTCACTTAACTATCATAAAACTATGACATATGGCCTATTATTATATCTATTTTATAGATGAGGAAATCAAAGCCGAGAAAAGTTAACTGACACACAACTAGTAAATGGTAAAGCAAAGTTATAATTCAGATATTCTTTATAATTGTTAAAGAAATAATACATATTGACAACTGAGAAGGTAGCAAAAGAGAGACCAATAATAATTGCATTTTGGTCATTTTACGGGATATTCTCTTTATATTAACTTTGCCTTACTATAAAATCTGCAAAAGAGCCAACTGCTATTTCTGCTTTAATGATGCTATTTTAGTCTAAGGTTACAAGAAAGGTAATGACAGAATTCAAACTAGAACAAAGTGCCCCTTGACTTTCTGAACTTAATTTACACCAGGCTATTCAATTTGATGTCATTACATCTTTTCTTTAAAAACATACCCCAGTGATACATAAAAGCAACTATTACCAATATTCTCTCACAATGTTATATCTGGAAACATTTGAAATAGAATAAAAAGAAACGATTTACAATAACACTTAGACACCTGATCTTAGACAAAAGGCCTAGAAGTGATTACAATGACACTTAGGATTACACCAAAATAAGAGAAAGAATACTACCAAATAACATAAGCAGAGAACAATGATGCTTATCACAGACACATTTAATGATGTGACCTTTAGCTTTCTAGTTTCTAGTTTCATTTAGTCATCATTTTTATGCCCAACTTGGCTAGGTTAGATCATCTTCTATCAGGCCGCAGTTGCAAGTGTGAATCCCACACAGGCTGGTTAGCTCTGCAGGAAAGAGGGCTCCTGGTCACGCTTGGGTCATAGCTCATGTTTTTTGTTAATTTTTTATTTTTTTTATTTCAGCATATTATGGGGGTACAAATGTTAAGGTTATGTATATTAAACAAACCCAATGTTGATGGGTATTGTTTATATTATTATCTACATTTTTTGATAGATATAACTTCTGAAATGTCTCACAACAGAAAAAGTTTAAAGTACAGAATAAGGTATTAGAATAACTACAAATGTTAACACAGGTTATTTTAGGAAAGTTGGATTTAAAACAATTGTCTATCTCTTCTTTGTTGTTTGCTTTATTACTCAATGTTTTTGTTGTTGCTTTTTTTTGCTGTGGTAAAATATAAATAACATAAAAATTATGATTTTAACCATTTTTAAGTGTATAAAGTAAATGGCATTAAGTGGCATTAAGTAAATTGACAATGTTGGGTGACCATCACCCTAAGAACTGCCAGACTTTCCACAGCACCTGTGCCATTTTTACATCCCTACCAGCATTTTACATTCCTACAAGGGTTCCAATTTTTTTACATCCTCACCAATATTTATTAGTTTCCATTTTTTAAAAATAATAGTCATCTTAATGGATGTGAAATGGTATCTCACTGTGGTTTTGATTTGCATTTCCCTAGCACTAATGTTGATTAGTGTCTTTTCTTGTGCTTATTGGCCATTTGATATATCTTCTTTGGAGATATGTCTATTCAAGTCCTTTGCCCATTTTTGAATTGGGTTGTGTTTGTTGTCATTGTTGTTGAGTATTACTTGATTTTTTACAATGAATACATACCATTTTAATTAAAATAAGTCAATATTCTAAAAAAGAAAAGTTAAATTTGTTAACAAATATTTAAAGCTTCATAATAAAAGCATTAAAGAGGCCAAAAAATATGAACTATGCTTAGAGAGCTATGATCGTGCCACTGCACTTCAGCCTGGAAAACAGAGGCAGACCCTGTCTCTAAAAAAAATAAAATAAAACAAAGTATGCTTAGAATAGTTTTAAAAGAATCATAATCATGTTTCATGTTATTTTTTCCTGATGATTCTGATATTTCTCTTTTTTTTTTGCCCACTTGATATGTAAAGGCAGTGGTTTATTGTCTTTTGAAATATAATTGGAAAGTCAATCCATACTAGGTTTTCATATTGAATTATATTTTGAATTAAATCCAAACAACTTCTAACTTTTATGTTTAAGAATTATGTTTATGAATTATATTAAGAATTTGAAGAGTGAATTAATTTATCTGGGGTTATAGTATTTAATAAGTGTTTATTATTAGTTATAGTATTTAGCTAATCTACCATGAATCTGCCAATTTTGGACCATTTCAGTCTACAATTTAGAAGTAAAATATTTTTCCCCTAAAAGATAGCTAACTAGTCTATGTATTAAAAGGACTTCTCTTATGTATTTTATCTATTTTTCTACTGCATTTGGCTCATGATATATAAGACCAATAAAATGACTCACAGTTCTTTTCCTTCTATTTCTACATCCCGTATCAAAGTCAGGCTTCTGCTCTACCATAATTTTCCTATATTCCTTAGTTCAGACAATAGCACAATGAGAATTTTGAAAAATTTCAAAATTTCCAAACTTATAAAAGTAACAGCCAAAGTGTCAGTTTGAAATCACTGTTAGAATAAGCTTATTCAATAAATGACTTTGAAGAGGTCATTTTTATTATAGAAGAAAATAAATTCTCAAAAATGTTACCCCAAATTTCTAGTCCTTGAATTGCCTCTTAGTGTTGCATAATTGTCAGTCCCCAAATACAACTTTACAGGGATATGTTTTTATCTCTTACATAGATTAAGCATGAAGACTTGTTATTATAATTTACAGGTTTGTCCTAAAAGTACAGATAAAGATGTAAGGGCAACTACGTAAAAATGCTGACTAAATAAAAAAAGGCAGGCAGGCAGGCAGGCAGGCAGGCAGGCAGCATATATAACATATAAACAGAAATTTTTCCTTACCTTCCTGTCCATTAGGAATCCAAAGATCCATGGTGAGTGAATGAATGAAAATTTAGAGTCCATAAATTACAGCAGTCTGAACAGTTGCTACAATAGCTGATAAATAAGGCCTCTAGTAAAGACCTAATGACATCATTGGGGTCTCCACTGAAGGACCCAACATGTACTATTATCTAATATTATATCCAATATTAAAAATAATAATTCATATATTATACTCTAGTATCTACAAAACAATTCTGTCTGCTCTATAAAAACTGATAAAATGTGTGAAAATATTTTTGAAATTTAACTTAAGAATAAATCTTTACAATGCCCCCCATACACACACACAAAATTTATAGCTTTCAGTTTCTTGTTCTATTTTTCTTGTTCTAGTGTCATGTGAAAACATTGCTTCTAATAACTATGTTGCAATTCAGTTACAAAAAAAGTCAAAAAACAAATAACCTCACTGATCCTGTCCACATTCATTCAAAAAATATATTAGAGTTAACCAAGTAGCAAGCAACAGGAATACATATATGAATTAAGGCAGCGCCTACTGTCAAGAAACTAATAATCTGGTGGAGGAGATTATAAAATAGCCTCAAAATAATCACAACCCCTCCATTTAAATCCTCATAATACAATTAAGGCCAAATTACTTGATTTTGCATGCCAATGGCATATAGAAATCATCAAGAAGAAAATGTCAAACTTTTCCAATGACATAAAAAAAAAAACCATCCATTCTCATAATACATGCACATACTTTATATATATATATTACATCAATCTGTTTTATAAAGATACTTAAAATCTCCACTTTGTTCCTTTAAAAACAAGCGCCTGCAAACTGGGCCTTTGGTCCATTTACATCATAGTAAAGATTTCTTGTTGTCCTGGTTGCTGCTTACCTGCTTTTTTTTTCAAATTAAAAAAAAATATTTTATTGTGGTAAAATATATATAGCAAAATTTATCATTTTAACCATTTTAAGTGTACAATTCAGAGGCATTGAGTAATACATTTACAATGTTGTATAACCATCATGATTATCTATTTCCAGAACTTTATTATCATTCCTAACCAAAAGTCTATGCCCAATTAAACAATAACTTCCCATTTCACCCTACTCCTATCCCTGGCAACCTCTATTCTATTTTCTGTCTCTATGATTTTGCCTAGTCTAAGTACCTTGTATAAGTAGAATCATGCAATATTTGTCCTTTCTTGTCTGGATTATTTCACTTAACATATTTTTAAGGTTCATCCATGTTTTAGCATTTATCAGAATTTTACTCCTTTTTAAGCCTAAATAATATTCAATTGCATG